CCGCTTGGTGTCGTGTATATCTCCCGCCTGCCCTGCCTTTGTCGAAGCTGCTTTCGGGGTTTTCACTGCTTACTACTAATCACGCGTTTTTGGGGACAGGACGCTCAGTTTGCCTTTCTTTTCGCGGCTACCTACATTAGTCACTCGTTATACCGAACTTTGTAATTACGCTAATATGAGGGTCTCGCAACTTCCCTTCCTCGCCATCACCGTCGGCGCCAGCCTCGTGCTCGCTCAAGAACGCTGCGACGCGCCTTCGCCAGGCATATACTGCAACTCGACGGAAATTCTCGCCTACCACGCGGACGACTGCAAACCTTTCCACGTTTTTGTCGCACGAGGCTCCGACGAACCCTACCCTGGCCGCCTAGGTAACCTTACCTCGAAGATCTGCGCGGCAATTGGAGGGTCATCAGAGTGTGGTTACGAGGATGTCGAGTATCCTGCAAAGAGCTCAGCATGGGGAGCAACCGCGTGGTGTGAATCAGCAAGCAAGGGTGCCAAGAACGGACAGGAACAGATGAAGGCGTACAGCGAAAAGTGCCCAGACAGCAAGTTGATTGTATTGGGTTTCTCGCAGGGTGCATCCGTGGCACAGGACATGCTCGGCGGAGGAGGAGGTCCAGTCTTTGCATGTGAGCAGGACATGAACCCAGCTCTGGATGCTTCAATTGGTTCCAATGGTACGTACGCACGTGTAAAGAAGTCACATTCTACACCGGTTTACTAACTTTCTCGCTCTAGTCGTCGCAGCAGTAACCTTTGGCGCGGTCGTCCGTTCCCGTGACCAGAACTTCACCGTCGGCCGCGGCGTAGACTACGACGGAACCAGTGCGCGCAGCCCCGAACACCTCAAAGGACTAAACGCCTACGCTGACGTCCTCCTCGATTACTGCCACTACGGTGACCCAATCTGCGCCGTTGGATCCTCGCCCCCAGACACAAACGAGCACCTGAACTATTTCTTCATGCACAACGAAGAGGTCATCAAGTGGGTGTCCGGCATGGCCAAATCAGGTGGTGATGTGAGTGCGAAACCCAGCAAGCCCGTAATCAGCCAGTCTCCCTCTTCGACAAGTGTGCCCGCGAAGCCTGCCGCCACCCCATCCGGATCCGCTACCCCTTCACCTGTTGCAACGACAACTGACGATGCGACGAAGGTTGCAGCGGCTAGCGCTACGGGTGCTGCCAGCTCGCTGACTGCTACCCTTGGCTATATGTCTGGGTTGGCTTTGGGTGTGGCTTTCTTTTTGTAGATCGTTTGCGTGATCTTTTAGCGTCATACCCTACATTCCATTCTTGGAGCTTGTGTCACAAGCATTATTGTTTAGATATTCAGCAGACGAACTGAGGAGTTGAGGAAGCATACAACAAGCATATACACACGGCGTACATGGCGTTCATCACAAGTCTCGGATGGAATTTGAACATTACTCTTTCATTACTATGAAGCAATAATCATCATGACATGCAAGAGGTACTTGCGTTCTCAAGCCTTTGGCCAGTAAATGCAACAACAACCGTCAAGATAACAAGACGCCACCAATGCAATGCGGAACTTTCTTAAAAACAACATCTCATCTACAAAAGACCAATAGTCCTCTGCTTCATGGTCCTGACATCGACATTCTGCCAGAAGCCAACACTGAAGAGCGTGATGCAGTAGACGCAGACAGCCGAGATAAGCATGTACCTCTGTGTCTGACCGTAGCTGAGGTTGATGGCATCGCGAGTCGGGCTGCCGACAGGGTAGCTGTCCTGAACATTGAAGTCACCGTAGATGGAGGCGAAGTTGTCCATGGCGCTCTCAGGCAGGTTCGCCATAAGACGAGCAGGGAAAACACCGGTCCAGATAGCGCCCGCAACCGTAGAGCCGATAGCGCTTCCGATGGAGATGATCATGGACTCGACGGCAAGGAGCGCAGGGAAGTCTTGCTGCTTGGACACGGCCATCAAGGTGGTCTGCTCAGAGATGACCAAGATACCACCACCAAAGGCAATGAAGATCATGCACATGACGATATAACCAATGTTCTCGTCGGGCTGGCGGAACTTGATCATAAGACCAACACCGAGCATAGTAAGAGGTACACCCAAGAACAGAGAGTAGATCTTGAGCTTTCCGTAGTATCGCAGCACAAGTCCGTAAACGATGGAGCAGAAGCAGCTGCCCATGGTGTAGATGTTGGCGATCCAAGTAGCGTGTACAGGGCTCTGGTCGAACAGCACCACAAGAAGCGAGTAGAAGTACGAGTCCCAGCAGTACCAGCCGATGTACAAAGAACCGGCCATGGTGTAGGTGAAGATGACAGTTCGGTTCTTGAGCAGCGGCCATGGGATGAAGGTGACGGGTGCGCCGTACTTCTCCCACAGTCCGAATGCGACGACGAGGAGGGCGCCGAATACGAGGAAGCAGATGATTAGGGGGGAGGCCCATTGCTTGGCTTGGTAGGAGTAGATGTTGAAGGCGAGGAGGAAGAGGGAGAGTCCAGCGGCGAGGAGTAGGAGGCCAACGGCATCGAATTCGCGGAGGTAGTACTTGAGCGTTTGAGCGAAGTTACCGCGGCTGGGGCGGGGCGTGATGAGACCCTCTTTCTTTGCCTTGCCCTCGTAGATGATGAACAGAAGCATGAGAGGTGAGGTGACGATAGGCGCGATGATGGCAAAGATACCGAACGTCCATCGCCAGCCGATGCCACCAGGAGCAGTGATGCTGTTGATACCGTATCCGTAGATCCAGGTGGTGATGAGCCATGGGGATGACGCATACCCGATGAACAGGGCCCGGTTCCTCAACTTGGAAGTATCGGCGATGAAGACCGTGATGAAGAAGTCGATGCTGTTAGAGCCAACGTAGAAGAAGGTCTGTGCCGCGCAGTAGGCCTTGACGTTGTTGCAGCTCGCCATTAAGATGAGGCCGAGGACGTAGATGGCCACACCCAGGCCGAGACCGAAAGGTCGGCCCCAGATGTTGAGGATCTTAGCATACGGGAGCTTCCAGATACCGCCGACGATGGAGGAGATGACGCTGGTCAGGGCGGTCAAGGAGTGCAGCTGGAAGTCACTGGTGACGTAGGGCGCGAGGGTGCTCGAGGTGCTGGATGCGTAGGCAGTGAAGAACTGGATGAACCACATGCTGTTGTCGTCAGTGTAGTTCTGGGAGCAGTGGGGAGATGTTGACTTACGCAATGTACGCGAGGATCAGGTCACGCTTCTTCCACAGGAGCGATGCAGCTTGCACATTCTGAACACCTGCCTCCGCGGTTGTGTCGACTTTGTTCAGTTCCTCATCCGATTCTCGACTCCTGGCCGACTCCCTCGGGCTGCCGACCTTCTCGTCAGGACGAGCAGCATCCATACTGGTGTGGCCCTGGTAGGACGCAGGCACGTCGGCAATATCTTTCTCATTGGCATCAGCATTTTTACTGTTGCCAGAGACCAATGCGCTGGTAGTCAATCCCTTGAAAGTGAAACCCATCTTGGCGATAGGTATGAAAGCACACCAAAAGAGAGGCTGTGATGAAGACGAGACGAAGAGATTGATAAGACAAGGTACCGCGCGCGCCTCAGGTTCATATACCGAAAACGCAGATCCACGCAGTTCCACCGCAGGACCTTTCCGAGACGCGCCCGGTTACCGGCTCCTCGTCGCTGGGTGGGGAATTCCGTTCACGTCCACCATGAACAAGGAAATAGTCGTGAACATCACGCGCTCGCCCCTAGCTAGCATCATGCACCGAAGCTTGACTTTCCTGAAAGCAGTTGGTTCCCCGGAATTAAGCCTTCCCAAGCACGGCCCAGACAGCTTCGAAATCTTATCTCGATAATCAGCCGGCATCTCGGGCCAATAGGAGCGAGCGGTGGCGTGACGCGTGGGTTATCAGATGAAAATTTTCGATCTAATCATTATCTGATCAAAACCCGCAAGCCACGACGCCTGCCTGTACCACTCCACTGCTTGCCCTCTGCTCCGTCATGCCTTCGTAAAGCGGGGATACCGAGGGAGATGATGCTACTTAGTCTGCGACTACGGACCTGCCGATGGTGCTCCCAATACTCGATAGCCGCCGGGCATGCGGTGGAGCTGGCTCGGGGTTTCTGCAGAATTTGCTCTGTTGCTCGTACCGTGGTGGCGGCCTTATAGATAGGATAGAATCGAAGTGGATAGAAGGAGCGGGAGGAAAGGTACAAACGGAACAAATGGGGTTCGAGAAGCTTTTCTGCGCAGGCATATCGTTCCTACGGTCGCCTGCGTCCAATCGCATCCCATCGTCGCTACTGCTGTGAACGGAATCAAGGGTCTGGCAGGTTGGCGTAGGTGGGGTTGACGGTTGGGGTGCTCGTGCGAAAGACGTGCTAACGGCGGCTAATCCTTCATCCTCGGGTCCCGACAGCAGGACAGGCTTTCTTGAGCGCAGATCCACCCATCCACCAGCCTGGAAACCGAACGTGATGCTTTCCGTATGATGCCGGGAAGCAGGTGGAGGATGGGAATGGCGAGGTCAGTTGTGGGCAGGTACGACTGCAACTTCGATGCGCACGAGTCATGTCAGCGGCCGACAATCGGACATGTGCGCGTCGCGTACCTGCCAGCTGCGATCGGTTGCGTACATGTCTACGTCGACCTGCACACAATGCAGCATGCTTCGCGTACACCCCTCTGTTGCGCACGCTTTCTGAATCTAATGCCGGATTTGATACGTAGATACACTTGGGTTCTGACTTCCTACACCAGAGGCTCTTATCAAGCTTGTACTGAGTTCCCTGAGTTCGTAGGAACTACTCGAGAGCTAGCTCTCACCAAGTCTATCCAATCTGATCGAGTGCGCCCTACGTTCCGCCAACGTTCCGCGATTCCTTCCTCCACCTGGATCGTCACATCTTGCACCCTAGTGGATAAGGTAGTCTGCTAAACTCAGCCCCTTCTCACGCCTCTTGGTCAGCGTCTGTCTCGTTCCTTCAAAGAAAGCATCGCGGAAGTCGTGACAATTGCCGATGGTCTATGACCAATCTTGACTCGGACTGTGGTCAATGATCCTGTCGTCACCCCAATTGCGAACGATAATATCTTGGATCATTTGCTGTGGCTTCGAGATCGCGTCCGACAAGTGCTCCTTGCGAAAGGAGACCGTGTGTGTGAATAACGTTGACGCCAGTGGCTGGGAGAGCGGTCGGCCGAAGGCTTCGAGCAGACGCTTTATGGCGTAGTTCTGGAAATTCTTTGCGCGTAAGCTGGCGCCTAGTTCCCAGCATGCGATGGCTGCCTTGATGCCCCAATCCAGTAGGTCTTCAGGTTCCAGGCCGTGGTGTGGAAGAGTAACGATTTGCAAGCTCTGGAAACCAAAGCCTTGTACCAGGCCTTGTTCCTCGCGATAATCCTGAGTGTACAACCACTGAACGAACAAGTCGAATACCTCGGAGCCATGTTCAGGACCGACATAGTAATCATAGAGCAGCCCTTCATCCCACTGAATGCTCTCGCACTCTGTTTCCATCAACGTTTTGTGAATTGACCATGATATGTCTTTATGGAAGCATCCGTGTCCGATAGTACAGATTCTTCCATCGCGCATACTAGAACAGGTTAGCGGTCGCTATGAGCTTCTTTCGTTCCTCGGGCGAAAGCTTACCTTCTTGCGAATCTCTCGCTGTGAGCGCGATCCTCCTGCATCGCGGGAGCCTCGACTCCAGTCGTCATATCCTTTTGGGGACACTGATGGATTATGTCGATCGCGGGAGGTTCAGAAGAAGCGGAAGAACAGTTGAGACATCCTGCTGCTATGAGGCAGCGCCAAGGCAGAGGGTGAGTTGCGAGGTGAGAGAGAGGGCCGCGCGCTCACCTCCTCATTCACCGAGGGAGTCTTCGTTTACCAATCATCGATACGACCAAGAGCGCGCCTAAGAGCTTCAGCTTCAGATGACGATAGGGAGAGGATCAGTCCGGGCTACACGTTCGTATGATAAAGGAAAGCGAATCTTGCGTACGATTCAAAGCGGCTGTAACATAATTCAACAGAACACTTTTAGGCTGAGAATGCAGTACGATCCGTTGTTGGCAGACGTGTACGGCTGTAGCACGCCTTCCATGTGCAGAGTAAACACCTACCCACAGAGAAAGATAACGTAAATAACGTAGAATTTTACATCACGTCAAGAGTCAAATGTTATCTGTTTCATCATAAGGTAGCCTACAAGTTGATTCGTTTCTCTGTAAATGTGGTGGTAGACAACTCTGAAATTCGAGCGATTACCTTGATGGGCTCAGGGCCGCGCACAGTACATGCGTCTCACCATCACTTCACTCCACAAAGCTGTTCTTTGTGCGGCATCCTCAGAGATTGCTATAAGACGATACGTGTCTCAGCAGCCTAACGGCTCGTTGGCTCGTCACTACCTAGTTAGATTGTTTAAGACTTCGCCACCATCGACGGTTGAGATTCGCGAACGACCTCGACACTTAAGCATAGTGTGCGCGAAACTTCTTCATCCAAGAAAGACCTCACCTGTAAAGTGACAGCTTGTCACTCGCCACCGGGCGTTCGCTTTCTTGACACTATCTCCGAACCAAGCCCTCAATCGATACTTGGCCTGTAGCCACAACTTGCGCAAAAGAACGCTTTTGTTCTACCCACACTACTCTGGAGTATCTGGGCACAGTTGGGCCGCTAAACCCCACCCTTCCCTGTGACACGGTCTCAGCGGGCGGGACGCATAAAGTGCTCAGGGAAAGGATCACTGGTCGAGACCTGCGGAAGTAGTTTATTGCGGTATCAATAGTAGGGCCGAGAAGGCCTTGTACTTGATTGCCACCATGGCTGTCATCCGGAAATGCGGGCGCTCCATCCCACGAAATCACACACGTGGATCATCTATACGGAGGATCTCCGATTGGTCGGATCTGTTATACATGGTCGCCCTGCAGCTGTTGCACTGGCAGGTGCGCTCTACACATCTCCGCGGCAAGAGCGATGTACGTGCCCTAGCGAATTCCGACGAGCAGTTGGGACATGTAACATCAAATCTTCAGTTCGAAGAAAATGCTCACGCTCTTGGAAGAAAAAGGTTTAGAAGTAAGAAGAATTCATTCGCAATGTCGCAATCATAGGGTATCTAATCGTCAAAGTTCGCCGCAACCAGCTCATGCTCCCCTCTACGCACAGCAACCAGTCGGTCCTGCCGCTTCGATAGAGGAGCGTCTTGTATCCTTCTCGTCAACCTGACCGTACGGTATTCTGACCACCATCCAGTCGCACAGGAACTTGCCCAACACAGCGCCCAGTATGATGGAGATGAAGATGTATCCATTGAAGTGCATGACCAGCAACATGATGATGTACGCAAGACCAAGAGTCAAGCCGTGGATCGAAGCGCGAATAAGTTGTTGAAGAGCCGTGGCGCGGAAGGTAGCGTGTTGGAGACCGAGAGTCGAGGTGGGGCCGTCGCAGCAGTTAGTGGGTGTCGCAGCCGCAAGGGCAGCCCGTTGTGCGTTGAGTTGGCGTTGGAACTGGCGGAGAAGTAAAGCATCGTATTCGTGACTGACTCGTCGCAGGAATTCGAGGCAGACGACTAAGAGAGCGGCGCCGATACAGCTTGCGGCCATCATGCCGTTGTTGGTCACGTGCCATGATTCGGAGAGGAAGCAGGCGTCTTCCACACGCCAATTCCACAGCATCTAGAAAATGTCAGTCATGATATCATATCAATTACAATGGACTACAGACCTCTGTCACGCAAGTGCTGTTGGGCTCCATGCCCGCCATTCCTGTCATTCCGTGCATGATGGCGATGGTGTTCTTAGGATGTGGATTTTGGTTGGACAGTTATTGCGAACCGTGGAAGAGGACTGTCAAAATGATATAGCAGACGTCGGACCAGACCCTGCGACTGCAGATGCGACGCCATGATATGTAGGAACGAGATGCCGTCTCACGACAGTCTGGCCCGAGCAAGCAAGCCGGCAATCGCGCCGCGAATTATGGGGGAACTTGCTCAAACACACTCGCACTAGCCGCTTCCATCGCCCCAAGAGAGCGGGAACCGCCCAAAGACCCGCCTAAGCGTCGCCGCCCACTTCTCGAAGCCTTGGCCCGCGTTTTTGCGAAACATGCTCACCACGTCTCCGGTGTGCAATGCTCGGCCGGCGATAGGTCATATACATATGCGGCGCACTCCACCCCGAAACATGCAGCACGCATCGCATCTTCAATTCTTGCCTTGACCATGGCCGCTGACATGCTCGTCGCGCGTGCGCACATCCAGAACTACTCCGAGGCGAGCGCTGTCGAGCCGCATTGGGGCTACGCAGATCGCCTCGTCCCCTGCACCAGCGACCCCGGCTCCTGCGAGTACCTCGACGTTGTCTATCGCAGTCATGACCTTGGCATGTACTACAGCGGCATCATTTGGGCCACCATTGGCGCCATCCTGCTGGTGTGGGCTGTTGGCCGACACTTTGCACGCTCGCAACCGTCCGGCGTGCAACTACCAAAAGAAGTAGGAGAAGGAGTACCGCAGAGACGCAGCGCATTCGAAAGACTCCAACGGGCGATTCCATCATACGCACGACGATATCTTCTTCCTGATGCCGCGCGACCAATCTTCGGACGGGTGACCCGCACCCAGGTCTTGACCCTAATCGTCTTGACCGGTTACCTGACCGTCTTCTCATTCATCGGCATTGTCTACAAGAAGTGGGTTACGCCCGTCAAGAAGCTCCCCGGCGTCTACAACACACGCACCAGTCTCGGACCATGGTCCGACCGTATCGGTGTCATCGCATACGCCCTCACGCCTCTCTCCGTTATGCTCTCGACACGCGAGTCCATCCTGTCGCTCGTCACTGGCCTGCCATACCAGAGCTTCAACTTCCTCCATCGCTGGTTGGGATACATCATCTTCGCCCAGTCAGCTCTTCACACCATCGGCTGGTGCGTCATCGAGATCCGTCTCTATCAGCCCCAGCCAACCGTCGCCGCGGAATGGATCGTACAAGAGTACATGATCTGGGGAGTAGTCGCAATGCTTCTCCTGACTCTTCTTGTGCTGCTCTCGACTCCCTGGGGCATTCGTCTCACCGGCTACGAATTCTTCCGCAAGGCCCACTACGTCCTCGCAATGGTGTACATTGGAGCTTGCTGGGGACACTGGGCGCAGCTCAAGGTCTTCCTCCTCCCCGGACTCCTGGTCTGGTTCATCGACCGCGCTATCCGACTTGCTAGATCAGCTCTGCTTCACTACAACTTCCTGCCCTCTGGACACATGGGCTTCCGTGCTGCTTCTGCGAACATTGCACTTTTCAAGGACGATGTCAATGGCGATGTCGTGCGTCTGGATTTCGACCACCCTCAAGATGCCTGGGCAGTCGGTCAGCACTTCTACCTCACATTCCCGGACAGCTCCATCTGGCAGTCCCACCCATTTACACCAATCAGCCGTCCGGTTTATGGTGCTGACTCCCAGCGCCACTCGTACATTTTCCGCGCAAGGGGCGGAGAGACGAAGAAGATTGCCGACCTGTCCATGAAGCGCATCGCGAACATGTCAAGCCACCAAGAATCGCACGAGAGCCTAATGGCTGACGCCCGCCTCTCTGTCGTCATGACCGGGCCATACGGCGAGCGTACTATGCGTGGTCTCGCTGCCAACTCAAACATCCTCTGCATCGCTGGCGGCACCGGTATCGCTTACGTCCTCCCCGTACTCCTTGACCTCGCTTCAAGCCCACAGTCGCCCGACCGCCACATGACGCTCATCTGGAGCATACGCCGGAGAAGCGACATCGACTGGGTCGGTCCGGAACTCGCTACCCTCAAGCGCAAGTGCCGGAATCTACGAACCGGTATTCACATCTACGTCACCCGCGCCGCCGAGGAAGCCAACCTCGATCTCACTGTCTCAGAAAAGGCCGCGCCCAACGACTGCTCCAAGGAGATCAACTCCGCCTCTGACTCTTCATCTGCCGACGCATCCTCTGCCCTCTCAGTTCATGGTGTCGCAAAGTCGGACTTGGGCCTCAACCACATCCAAGCCAGGCCTGACCTAGATACTATAGTGTCAGAGTTCGTTGCTGGCACTGTACGAGGAGGCACCGAGGTGTTCGCTTCGGGACCCGGTGGTATGATCAGCAATCTTAGGCGGATAGTCGCGAAGAACAACAAGGGCGGTGAAGTTTGGAAGGGAGACGATAGGTGGGATGTACGGTTGACGTGTGATGATCGATTAGAGTGGTAGTTTGCTTGACCTAGATACCCCAATTGCATTGCTTTCATGTTCAACATGTCTTCCTCTCGGGTGATGTTGTGACCTCTCTTGTGCAACTTTAGCTGCGTCCTGACAAATTGCATGATGCGTAATATCAGTTGGAGAGTCGGCAGAAACTGATGGATTTCGGCGTTCCGGCTACCTGCTGACTAAAAAGGTGCGCTAGCGCCCGTTGTGACGTTTGCAGGTGTCCAGCCTGTCGCTCCAGACAGTGGCGTCTCCTTTTGTTACACAG